AAATTGCCATTTAGAAAGTGGGGACCACTTTTAACCACTGAGTTAAAATTTAAAGTCACATCAGCAGTATTTCAGCCATATCGTGACTAAGAAAATTGTAAATTTATAAATGAATAAAAACATAGTCAGCTAATATACTTACCTGTCTGCAAAGGACAGTAAAACAACTAGATTATCACAGAAATGAATTTAAAACAAGTAATTAAATCTAAAATATGTTTACTGTAAATGACAAATTGAATACAATATAAACACAGGCTACAGATTGCCAACAACTGAAGGCAGATCACCATACTAGGGACAAATCGTTTTAAAGGTAAGGGGATGAGAATAAGTTATATAATTAGAAATGTGCCTCTAGTTGTGTTGATTGATGCTCATCCAGGCCGTGCAATTAATAGTGCATGTAAGGACAGCGTCTATTCAAGTAAATGTACCTTTTCCTTTCGAAAAATGATCGGTTAAAAATGAGGGCGGGCGGTGCGAGAAAACATCGGCGTTCTTGACAAGGGCCTCTTTGATGATACTGTAACCGTTGAGGACGATGACTGGCTGGTTGAAGATGTACACACTGAAGATATCTCCATATTGGCGTCGCAGTTTGCTGAATGTTACCGTGATGTCGGCGTCCATGGAGAAGATGTTGCCCACCAGTGGTAGAAGAGGGGGACCAGGGGGAAGACCAGAAGGACGCCGTGTTGACAGCCATAGTAATAGTGACACGGTGATAAACACCAATACCGTAGATGTATTAAACATCAACAGCCCTGTTATCAAGGTGAAGGTCGCGACTGCATAAACACAACTGTAAAGAGTCATGCTCAGGGGTGGCCGTTCCAAAAGTATCTGAAAGAATATGTATATTAATTTCGCTACATGCACCCTGTCTGAGTGCGGCGTTAAACACCAAACAAACAAACGAAATAAACACCCTGCAGCAGAATGACAGACAGACAGACAGACAGACAGGTTTTATTCAGTAATGTAGGCACAGTGGCCCATAGTACAGTTGAATTTTCATTTTAACAAATATTGGTCACGTGACCCGAAATTATGGTTTTACATGTGATTTAAGGATGGACATCAAATGTTTTATGAAAATGGCAGCTGATTTAATAGTGTCATCGTTATTAGAATTAAGTATTTTATATATCGTTTGTGGGGCATCATTAAAGAATTTTAGATACTTCTTTCGGCCAGCAGAGAATGCCTCACAGTCTAATAATAAGTGACGTTCGTCTTCAGTTTTACCAGAAGAACAATGAGAACATGATAAATCTTCCAATGTATTTTTATCTTTTCTATAACGCTGTATTTTTAAGGCATGTAAAGAGATTCTAAATTTACAAAAATTTCTTAAAAGGGACTTATCATTAAGGACCCTAATATATTTTTCAGGTCCGAACATCGATTTACATTGTGAATAATGACTTAGAAAACTCGATGAATGAGATTGTATTAGGAGCATAGTATTGAAAATGTGCAGCTAACTGGAAACACTATCTTCGTGTTCATCTTTCGCTCTCTAGGCAACTGCTGCATCAATTACATTACTGAGGCAGTTTCCTTACATCATTCACCTGATGAAGGAGTAAAGATATACGGTATGACTTCCTCCCGTATCCCCCCTAAAGTTTAATGATGAGGAGTATAAACATATGCTTTTCCTGCCTGGTGTCGAGAGTAGACATGCTTTCAAGCGTTCCCACCAATGTGACAACAATGTGATAAAATAACACCTCACAAAGGCAATTTCGACCAAAAATATTCATGTGGGATTGAAAGAGAACCACTACTCAACATAATCTGGTGAAAATAATTAGTGGATGGCGAAAATTCAGAGAAATTTCAATGGTTTGTGAAAGTGACTGTACACATTCAGTGGACTCCATATTCAACATGAGGATGTGTGTGAATGGATTCATTCAATACATGTAAGTAAACCTCCTCCATTGACTGAGAAGATAGAACTCATGACACCCCATGCTCTAGTATAATTTGACATTTATAACTGCTTACTTAACAACTTGGACTTAGTAAACAAATGACTGACACCCCCGGCAACTCAAAACGTCGGCGCAGTTCCCCCATTTCTCCCCAGTTGGATATTTCATTCTCCATTTCTAAGAGGACAAGATCCTTGTCAGACAGTTCTGTTTTCACCATTGAAGAACCAAGAATGGCAAATTTAGATATCGTTCCTCAAATTATTGAGGCCCTCAACTCACCTACAGTTTTGGAAAAGGTAGGAGTAGCTCTAGCCGGAGTGATTATGCCCCCAAATACACCTGACACTTGACAATAAACTTAAGTCCATGTTTGAAGTGTAACATGAGAATGAAGAGAAGATTGCCTCACTGGAAGAGCAAGTTGCTAAGGAAAACTAAAGGCAAAAGACTCACAGCTCGATGATATCTACCAGTACAGTCACAGAAATAATGTTGGTGTATTCGGTATAAATGAAGAGACAGGAGAAAACACAGATGAAATTGTGATTGAGTTAGCTGGTAAGATTGGGGTGAAACTTGACTTGCAGGACACCGAGAGAAGTCACAGGACCGGTAACCCTGCTAATTATACAGGGGGAAGATCTAGACCAATACTTGTGAAATTCATGTCATATCGGGGAAAGAGGGAGTTAATGAAAAATCTGTACAAATTGAAGGGAAGTCAACATCAGTCGAAAATCTTTATTAACGACGACCTCACAAAAAGGAGAGCCCGTATTGCTGCAGATGTTCGCAAACTGGTTGTGTCGAGAAAGTTGTCTGGATCCTGGGTAAGAGATGGTATCATTTTCGCCAAGAATCTTGATGGACATGTCAGTCTCATTTCCAAGAGATTCCAGTTCGACAAGTTAATCGAGTCACTCAAACTCAAAATCCGCCTAAGACTGTCTCAGGAGCAGAGGAGGATGGTGGCGTTCACGGATGTTGACGACAGCGAGGAGGAAGAGGTAGTCTGAGTCAGAAATGTGCGCGATCACCTCTAACTTGTACATATAACTGTGCTAACCGTGTACAAAAACACATTCCATGTATGACACGTGCGTTTGTTTACAAACAACAGCGAGTGACGGGCCTTCGTTCTGATTGGTCGACCCTCACTGCCACCACCCAATCACTGATCAGGATATTCGCCCTGCCACGGATGAACCCGTACCGCTTGGGATGCTGCCTGTTGTTTACTGTTGAAACTGTCATGCAAGTGTGAGTGTTGATCGAACTCAATATACGAACATGAACAATCTTAATCAGATAAAGTTGTTGTTTTGTTTTTGGTTTTTGTTGTTTTGTTTTTTTCAATGTATCTTTATTTACGAACACTGAAAACTGGACTTGTACACAATGTGACTTTGCACAAGGAAACACTTTCCCTGATACTTGCAGGTTTGCCTTATTTTAGTCCATGTATGAGACTACTGTTTAATTTACAGATGTGAGTTTTACATCCACTCCATTTATTCTCATTTAAAGAGGAAATCCACAGTTTTACGTTTATTTACACATTGCATCCCTTAAATGCTTATTACAATGTACACAAAGAGTCGAAGCCATTATTTTCTTTATCATTCCCCCACGGATAATGGGGAACTTTCTCATTTTTCTAACTTTATCATTAATTGTTTTGCTTTCATCCTTCAACAGTTTGTTGAAATTACCTGAATCTCAAGATGCCTACTATTTAGTTCATGCGACAAACATATTCTCAAATGTATCTAATGTTACAAAAAGTAAGATTATAGTTTTCTCTATTCATGCAAACATACCATTGCATGTTCATAAATGCATCCAGGTGATAATGATGAATAAACCCCAATTTTCTGTTTCAGTTTTACTTGTGAAAATATTTGATGAGTGTTGACATAGACTTGTATCGTCAGAGAATTGGGGTGTTTCACGGTAAAATCTATAGTTCTTCCAAGGGCAAGATTGATCTTAATACATATTACCTTGTATTATTTTTCTTTACCCTGGGTCTCAGGGGTATACAGTTGTTTCTTATGTTGTTGATTTGCTGTGGGGATGTCCATCCAAACCCTGGACCCATTACCGGTATACGAAACAATAGATCTAATTTGAATACAATCCATATAAATGTGCGTAGCTTAAGGGATAAAATTGGCATCATCAATTTTGAACTTAAAGATTATGATATCATCTGCATAACAGAAACATGGTTACATCCTGATATCTTAGATAATGATATTATGATAACAGGATTTCATAAACCTTTCAGACAAGATAGACTTACTCGAGGAGGAGGGGTAGCAGTTTATGTACGTGAAAATATCTACGTTAAAAGTATGGAAAATCTCTCAATAATGGGCTTAGAATCAGTATGGGTAAAAGTTACTTGTAGAAATCATCATACCTTGATCGGCACTTTCTACCGTGCTGATAAAAGTAATCGTTACTGGGATCTTATTGATATGTCAATTGGAAACGCATCTGATTTAGACATAGATATGGTAGTTACGGGGGATTTTAATATTGATTATCTTAGTAATAAATAACAGCGTCTAGATGAACTTCAAGCACGATATGGCCTCAGACAGATTACAAGTAAACCTACAAGAATTACCGAGTATTCTCGGACACTGATAGATCTGATACTTGTTTCTAATTATGTAAGTGTAAGTTCATCGGGAGTCCTTGATCCTGTGTGTAGTGACCACTGTCCAGTCTTTCATAGCATGAACCACCCCAAGCCTAGCAATCATACCTATAGAAGAAAGATATATAATTATTCCCTGTTAGACATTGAAAGTCTAATTTTATATCTCCGCGATTCTAATTGGGATTCACTTTTAGATATTGATGATTTGGATTCACTTGTTGATGGTTTTACGGACATCCTTGTAAGTGTATGTGATAAGTTTATTCCAAACAAGATCATTACGGTTAGAAATGAAGACAAGCCATGGATGAATTCCGAAATACGTAGACTTATCTGAAAACGTAACCGTAAACACAGACTTGCAAAAAGACGTAATTTACCCTCTGACTGCGAAGTTTTTAGAACCACAAGGAATAAGGTAGTGTCAGAAATTAAAAAAGCGAAAGAAAGGTACTTTTTATAATTAGATAGTATGATAAACGAACAGAGTCATAATAAGAAATGGTGGCAGCTTATTAAATACTATCTGAAGAAAAAAGATAAATCAACATCGTTTCCTTCCATTTCCCATGAAAATGTCATTTATGATGATCCTACATCTATAGCTAATATCTTTAACGATTTTTTCGTTGCCCAATCTACGGTTGAAGATACAGAACGTTCCCTCCCACCCTTATGTAGTAAATCATTGAACTGTTTAGCAAACATTGAACTAACCCAGAGAGATGTTGAAGATATACTTCTTTCTCTAGACGTTCGCAAAGCGACGGGCCCTGATGGTATTGGTAATAAATTCCTTAGGCTTACTGCCAAAGTGCTGTCTTAACTTCAATATTAAATAAGTCTTTAGACATAGCAAATATTCCCAGTACATGGAAACGTGCTTCCATAATACCCATTCATAAGAAAGAAAGTGTTAATGGATGTAGCAACTATAGACCAGTGTCTCTCACATCTTTGAAAAATGTGTTCACAAATACGTCTTTAAATTTTTTAAAGACAATGGTATTATAAATAAATTACAGTCTGGTTTTGGTCCTGGTGATTCAACAACTTATCAATTATTAGATTTGTATAACTTCATTTCAAGTGCCATGGATAAAGGTAAAGAAGTAAGAGCTGTCTTTTGTGATATAAGCAAGACCTTTGATAAAGTGTGGCATAAGGGACTTCTATACAAATTACAATCATATGGAATATGTGGTAAATTACTTGATTGGTTTGATAGTTATCTTCATGAAAGAGTTCAGAAAGTTGTTATAAACGGTTACAATTCCGAGTATAGATCTGTATTAGCCGGTGTCCCCCAAGGATCTGTGCTTGGGCCATTGTTATTTCTTGTGTATATAAATGATCTTGTTGAAAATATAGATTGCCATATAAGACTCTTTGCTGATGACACTTGACTTTATGTTATAATAGAAGATCCTACCGATGATGCTATGCGCCTCAATAAAGATTTAGAAAGGATTTCTCAATGGACAGTGCGGTGGCAAGTTAAATTCAATCCTTCTAAGACTGAAAGTATACAGTTTAGTAAAAGACGTTCCATAGTGATTAGTCCGAGATTATTTATGCAAAATATTCCTATAAACAAAGTTTCCGAGCACAAACATCTAGGCCTCTGGTTTCAAAAAGACGCAAATTGGACTGCACAGATAAATTCTCTATTTGATAAAGTTTCACCAATGATAAAGAAATGGGCTTTACACATTGTGCCCATATGGGGACTCGAACCAGGGTCTTCGGAGTGACGAGCGAACGCCTTAACTGCTAGGCTAAACCACCGCCCCCTTCTTCAATGGAAGGAGCGAAAGTCGATGTTCGCCACACGCAGCTGTTTCAACCCTTCAGTGTGTGTGTGTGTGTGTGTGTGTGTCAGACAACAGGCGTTGGTGATAATAACACACGTCTACGGGTATGGCGTCGACGGGGAGAACGTTACCATCAGGACTGTGTTGTGGAAACAGATCGATGGGGTGGAGGAAGCAGTATGGTGTGAGTGTGTGTGTGTGTGGGGTGGGGTGGGGGTGGGGGTGTCAGTCATCATCACAAAACCGCTCTGGTAGTTTGTCGTGGCAGAGTGAATGCCCTTTACTACCGTGACTCCATTCTTCAGAACAACGTCGTTCCCTTCTTTAACCAACATCAAGATCTGAACACATTCCAACAGGACAATGCTCGAGCGCACACTGCACGCCTTGCAACACAGTTTCTGGCAAACAACTACATTCCTCTACTTGCATTGCCCGCATCGTCACCAGATTTGTCTCCCATTGAACACTTGTTGGATTACATCGGCCAACGCCTCTCACGTCGCCCACAGATCAACAACCTTGGGGAACTTGAGAATGCCTTGCAACAAGAGTGGAATGCATTGCCTCAAAACATTATTCAGAGACTTATCAGTTCAATGAGGAGACGTTTCACAGCTTGTGTTGCTGCTAACGGTGGTCATACACGTTACTGACTTTCCAATTTGACTCCATCTTTCTTTCATTGTCAGCTGAATTAAAACTTCACTGTTTTGCTGGATTGTTTCTGTTTCTTTTCTTTACAAATATCGATTATCAAGAAAAACACTATATGTTATGTATAAATCCTTTATTCTGCCATTATTTGATTATTGTAGTTGTATATGGGATAACTGTACAGTTAGCCAGGCATCAATGCTTGAAAAATTGCAGCTTGATGCACTAAGAACAATATGTGGGGCTACAAGGGGAACAAGTCATAATAAATTATATTCAGAAACTGATCTTTTACCTCTAGCAGAAAGAAGGCGCATTCAGAAACTGACCCTATTCCATAAAATGATACATAACAAAACACCAGATTACTTAAACAGTCTCGTGCCAGAATCTGTCTCTGTTGCAAACCCATATAACTTAAGAAACTCTTCAAATTTGCACAAAATCGCTATAAGAACTACTTCATATGCTAAATCATTTTTGCCCAGTACTATTGAACTTTGGAATTCTTTACCTGAAGAACTCAGACTTATACAGTCACCAAGTGAATTTAAAAACAAGAATACACTATATTGTAATACTTCATTCGGATTTGATATCAACATTGGAAACAGGTTCTGTCAAATAATCCACTGTAGACTCCGATTAGAATGCAGCGATTTAAATGCCCATATAGTAAGTAGATTTATATCCGATAACCCATCATGTATTTGTGGTGCCGCCTTCGAAGACACCCTTCATTACCTTTTTATATGTCCCAATTATGATGCCATAAGAAACGATTTATTTTATTTCAAACATGGATATAACATAAATGACGCTCTGTATGGTAACTTAGAATTACCTAGATCTATAAATCATGATATTATCACATCTGTACATACCTTTATTACCAGTTCAAAAAGATTTAATCTGTCTTAAGTTTTCATCTGTCCCTTTGCAGAACTAAAAGTATTTGTGGCTGTGTGGATGTTCATATTCATGTATATTGTATGCATATTGTTATTTATGATACCATGTATTTTTGTAATATTTTTATGAAATGTAAGTCGCATAAATGTTGTTTTGTCTGGAGAGGCATTAATATAAGCGTTTTGCTTGTTTGCCGATCCAGTTTCTGAACAATGTATCAGAAATAAATATGTTTAAACCATATAATATGAATTGAATGGAAGCAGGTTGTATCCTATGTCCTGTTCAGATTAAAGTGCCAATATAGGTACATACACACACGCGCGCGGGCCCGCGTGTGTGTGTGTGTGTGTGTGTGTGAGAGAGAGAGTGTGTGAGTGAGAGAGTGTGTGTGAGTGAGAGAGAGAGAGAGAGTGTGTGTGTGTGTGTGTGTGTGTGTGTGTGTGTGTGTGTGTGTGTGTGTGTGTGTGTGAGGGGATACGGGCAGTCTTTCCGGATATACACTAGAGGCCAAAAGAAACCAAAAAGAAACGTTACCCTCCTACCTTTATGAATTCCTGAAAAACATTCAAAGAAATTTTAGGTTTTAGTTTACAAGAAAGCTTAACAACACAGCTTTATGCACATCTCAAACGCATTCATATTTTGGTGAAATGCATCTTTTTCAGAAGAGTGAAATTGTCCTATATTCGTCCATGCCTAAATAAACCAATAATAGTGATTTTGATGTCCTAAAGAAAGGTTGAAATAAAATTCTTCTATGGGACAATGATAACCCATTTAAAGTCACCATTTTTCAACTATTAAAACAAGAAACAACTGTTGTAGGGTGTGTAGAATTGTAAACTAATCATTGCTATGATTTCAGGCTTTTAAAACATTTTCTGCTAATTTGCATGAGTGAAAACAAGTGAAACGTGTCTTTGATATTGTGAAAAAATGTTTAGGAACATCTAAACTTATCTTTGTTAACATTTTGCTTGCAAAGTAACATTTTTCCATGTTCTGTTTAGCAATATCAATCGCCAAAACGCAGCAATATTCAAGCAGCATTTACATCCATTTCACATGTAGAATGATTCTATAGGGTATAAAGAGAGCCTAGAAGACATGATCTGATACACAAGTACGAGAAATATGCCACGATTAACAGCTGAAGGGAGAGAAAGAGCCATTGGGATGGTGCGGATGGGGTCGACATACAATGCTATTGCCAACGCCCTCGGATGCCGCCGGCAGAGGCCCAGATAAGCTGCATATCCGGGTAAAATACGCATAGAAAATTTCAAATTACGCATTGAAAAATAATTGTTGCGTACCAATTACGCATTTAAAATGTTAGATACGCAAAAAGTTTAAAACAAATGCGTACGGAATATATTTATAAAAATCGCTTGCGTAATGAAAAAGACATCGATTGCTATCAAGTTGTACTGTTAGTATAGGACTAGTGTTGTACTGTCAGTAAAGGATGAGTGATTTTTTTTATGAAATCATTTCCATTATATTTAAGTTAGCTTTGATTAGGTATGACATAAGGCAGAACATGCCTGCTTAGTAAACTTACTCAATGACATAATGCTTAGGTGAGTAAAATGACTGGGAAAATCCACCTGTAACAATATGGCCTTGGGTGAATGTGGAAGAGTGCCTTTACAGTTTACTTATACAACCGAAATACTGGTGCAGACTTCTTAACATGCCTGACTATAGATTACCAAAACAATGTTATTTTATGCTATTATCTCTAGACAGGGTGAGACGAATTTCATGGGCAACTAGAATTAAAAATATTCTTTTTCAATTTGGTTTTGGATTTGTTTGGATAAGCCAGGAAATTGGTGATGACAAAATATTTATTGAATCATTTAAACAGAGACTACATGATAATTTATTCCAATCTTGGCAGTCATCTTTGGACAGTAGCTGTATAATTTTAAAGGTTAAATATTTATAAATATAATTTCCTAAAAATGAATCAATATCGAATGCATTTTTACAACCTCTAAAACTATTCTTAACAATTTACTGTTCCGTACATCATCCAAAATAAGGGATTTTTGCAAAGTTCATATTTCGCGCCCATAAGCAAACAGTCAAAATCTTACAGTATATTATATTTTCCACCAATCGGATGGCCCAATTTCGTTTCTGCGGATCTGCTCAGATCACTTGAATGTCAAGGCCATCTAGATCTATGGCCGACAAGTGAGTATGATTGCCGATGGTTTTGGAGAAAATGCCTGCTTACTGTCGAGGAAATGATTTGTAGATGTTGCAATAAGTTTTTAGACCCGTGGAATGCCGCTGCCGATCGAATCTAGCCCTACATAGGTGCTGTCAGCGTGGCTGGAATTAATAAACGAATTTAGTACTATACATCGCTTTAAATTAGATAATTATATAGACCAATGTATCCCACCGTAACATGAATTC